TCTTCATGATAGCCGCCTTTTCCACAAGGGTCCATTGCTGCCTTACGTTCAGCCTGGTGTACGCCAGGACCCCCAGGTCCTTTTCTGCAAAGCTGCTTTTCATCTGGGTGGCCACCAGCATATACTGGTGCATGAGGCTGTTCCTCCCCAGGTGCAGAACATTGCACTTTTTCATGTTGAACTTCATGAGGTTCCTGGCAGCCCATTTTCCCAGACTGCTGAGGTCCCTTTGGGTGGCAACACAACCCCCTGGTGTATCAGCCACTCGTCTCAGTTTGATGTCATCTGCAAGCTTCCTGAGGGTAACCTATATCTTAAAATTTCCCAGTTTCTAGAGAAGATACAGGGTGCCTCCTCCTCTTTTCCCATCTGGAGACCATACAAAACCAGCCCTGCTACTCTCTGCTATCAGGCATGATGAATCTCAGCTCTTCTACAAACCAACAGATGAACAGATGAAGCTGTGCTGCTGCCGCAGGTGAACATGCGTGTTTGTCTGTGCGTAGGTCTGCGTGTGACCAAAATATTTGTCAGGGAGCAACAAGGTCAAGCTGTTACACCAGACAAGTCTGGCTTCACAGCAATGAGGCAGCTCCAGGTTTAAACCAGGAAGGCAGCTCACCAAGGTGGACAGACAGGATCAAAGCTGACAAAGAGCTCAAGCAAGGGCCTGGGAAAAGACTTTGAGCTTAAAAACAGCTCTCAAGTGATGTTTGGGAGAGTCCTGATTATCACAGCTCATTCTCGTGCAGCACTGTTACTCAAGGCCACATGGAAGCTTCATGTGAATCCTGGCCTCGAAAACAGGCAGCCAAACCTCTGAAAGGAGTGGGCTGAGCACAGGACAACGTCTCTAGGAGGTACGTTCATCTTTGTCAAGATGGGAAGTAAATGTATCTCTGTGCTGTACTTCTTGATAATATGTATGAGTCTGTTTTTTAAGTGAGGCAGGAAGTAAGAACTTCTTCTGAGTCTTCTGCTTCATAACTCCATCACTAGCTAGAGTTTTGCTGCCAAGTGATCTTCCTGAAGATAAAATTGCAAGCACTTTTCTAATGTGGTGCGTTTTGGAACAATAGTCAGCATAGACCCATCTTCATAGCAAGTGAGAGCTGGACTAAGTTACCCAGTGAAACTTGATGGAAGCAAATGCAGCCTAACATCTCTGCCAAGTGCTGCATACCCAGCTGGAAAGTTGGCCATGTCTGTGGGTGGCCTCCTCGGAAAGAGAAGTCTTCACCAGATTAACCAGAGTGATTTCTTATGAACAGACATGTGCATGGGTGGATCACAACCATGGAGACATTCTGTAGAAAGGGTGAGGTCAGCTCATTGGCAGAGAGCAACCAGTCTAACCTCAGGTTGTCTCCGGATGGGTGGGGAGGAGAAAACACCCTGATCACTCCCCGCAGGACTATCCATCTGATCCATGGGACCCCTTCCAGATGTCACCTTGAGGGGGAGATGGACAGCAGCCTAGGAGATCTATTTCCCCCTAAGGCATACAAAGGTCTCCTTGGGGTTTGCCCATGGAATCAGCCCAAGTGTTGCTGAGGGCAAGGGAGGTCCCTCCCCGCTGCATGGTAGAACGGGGCATGGAGCAGCACAGCTCCCAGCAGGGCCTCTAACAAAGACGGTTACAGTGTGCTGGACCAAGATGAGGAGGAGCCCAGGGCCGCCAGGATGGGTAGTGCCCACCCAAGGGACATACTGCCCAGCACAGACCTCTGTGAACATTTTCTGCTGCTGGTGCCTGTGGCCACAAGGAACAAGGACCAGAACAGGGGTGACATGGCCATTCATACCAAGCAATAGCCTGTATACTGAGGCCAGATTTTTTGTCATGGTAACGGCTTGAAAAGCATCAACAAGAAATTTTAGCTTTTGAATTGTAAAGAAACCTCAAGAGTCAGTGGCCAGCTACCCACTAACTCCTGCTGTGTCGAGAAATAACTATGTTTCTCGTCCTTCACTTCCACGGTGTGTGCTTCGTTCCCAGACATAACTGTAAAAGGTTACATCACCAAGTGGTGCCACTTGAGGGGATATTAAGCTTTTGGACAAGTTCAGGCAAATCTTCAGGGGGTAAGAGAGGAGCTGAGACAAGACGAAATATTTCAGCACCAAATATTATGTGACCTGTGAAGTACGTATGCCATATCTTCCACAATAAATACCACGTGCAACATATATGGGGGGGGCGGGGGTGGGATTCAGTTCCTCTGACTTAATTTGGGTGACTGCAGACACAGTGGTGGATCTACTGACATCACGGTCAATAGAGTCAGGAGAACCAACAGACCAGTGAGGGTGGCTTGAATATTGGCAGTAGTGTCATCTCTAGTGCTGTGTGAGACTCTGCCTGGTCTCTATGCACTGTTGTGGAAGAATCAAGACCTCTTGCAAGTCCTGTCTATTACAGCATTGTAAAAAATAAAATCTGTAATTTTAAATGTCATAAATCAGAGCTTCTAAGGACCTTCTCTGTATGGTTCATTAACACCATTGAACAATGTTTAACGTAGGAAATCTTGCAAGGAACAGCAGGCTAGATTTGCATAATGTATTTGGGCTAAAAGTGAGTATAATATAATTATCCTGCTTATCTGCTGGTCAAGGAATAGTCAACAACTGTGTTCTTTGTGAGCTAATTCCTTTGTATGTTTGCATTTCTAAGCAAAACTTCTTTCATGATTACAATTAAAAACACCCTGATGTTTTCTAGACACAGATTGTCACAGCTTTGTTTCTGTTCTGGTGTCTTTTTTCCTGTCTTAATACAGAGTTCTGGACTTGCTTTCAACCATTAGGCTCCAGTGTATTCTCTTTGCGTTTCTCTTAGCAGTGTCAGATAGAGAACAAGTCTACAGCCTACATCAAAGAGAAAAAAAAAAAAAAAAAAAAGGAAATAAACACTCAAAAGCATTTTTCTAAAATTTGCACTATCAGTTTTGAGCTGTTTTTAGAAGGTAGACGTAAACTGTTCTCTATAAATACACTGAGAAGAGGCCTGAGATTTTGCCTAAATGCATGTCCATCGTGCATGTTCAATGCCTCCTCTAGATACCTTCCCTCTGGGGGATAACGGTCCCCTCTCAGCCCCCTTTGATGTGTGAGCAAGCCCTGCCAATCATCTCACTGCACAACAGGGCCAGACTGTCAGCTAGGACCAGGCAGAGCATCTACAACTTGTCCATGCATACATTCCTCCAAGCACCCATTTTCCAAAAAGATTTTGAGTTATGTTAACTATCACCATGACTTCAGTATAAGAAATTGTGCCACAGAGGACTAGAAGTTGCATGGGTCACCTGGGGGATAAGTTTTTTCCCTTCTAAGAAGTGCAAAGAAATGGTCATAGAACATATAAGTGCTGTAATTTTGGCAGGCAAACAAAATCTTCTCCGGAACATTTCAGAAATGTGAAGAACTGAAGGGAGTGTGTCATGTGGTGGAGGGAGTGGGAGAGGAGTTAATGGAGAGAGACCAGTATAAGCTGTTTTCCATCTACTATCATTTATGCATCCTTTCAGAGGGACAGGTGGGGAAAAAACCCAAAACTTACATCCATTGCTATGAAATTACAGGACAAACAACTTATGGAGAGAAAAGAACTGACATAAGTTGTTGCACTATTTAAAAAAAGTAAATAGGCCTACATGTTTCCTGGATGCCCATGGGCATTGTCCAGAAGACAGAACACTGAGTCTCACATGCTGATGTTTTAATGGATGGTGAGTGTCTGGATTTTTAGCTATTTCTATTTCTCTTTCGCCAAGAAAAGATTTCTGCATAGTAAGAAAAAAATTATTTCAGCATCTGAACACATTCCTGCAAAGGGAAGCTGAGTTGTCCCAGCCAGCCTGTCTCTTGGTAGTAGAGGGTAAAGTTTTCAGTCCGTGTCTGTCTAGCCCTGGATAGCTGCATGTCTCAGAAAATCTCAAATTAAGGAGCAGTTGGCACTGTAAACTGTTTCCCTCTGGGGTTTTTGTATCAAAAGCCAGGTAGAAGCATCATTCTCAACCCATGCAACAGACATCCGTGCTTCAGTGATGTGAATGTTAAGCAACAGCAATTTATTCAAAAGGATGGAAAGCAATGCATAATACATTTGGATTTACTCTACATCATAAAGCTTTTTGCATTAAAAATGAAAGGTACATTTGTACCAGGATCCAGTGGTTTTAGCAGTGAGGGTGATTCAAAGCAAATTCCTAGGTTCAGAAGAAACTTTCATCACTCTTGAATGGAAAGTCCGTGAAGTTTTTATACGTCCCATGGGCTGCACAAAAGAAAAAAAAAAAAAAGAGAGAGATTATTTTTATGCTTCTATTCTCTCCCTACTTACTCTCGGTCCGTGCATATTTTCCTCTTGGGTATAAATACTTTCCAAAATATATAATGTCATGTGTAATCATGCTGTGACAGCACTGTGCACTCATACCTGTGAGTAAGAAGGGTATTTTCCTATTGTTTCAGGAAAAGCAGGGAATTAAATTGATATCCCTTCATATTGAGGTGAGTGCATTCATTCCTGAGTGAAAAAAGAAGGTGACCTTTCATATAACAATTTCTTTTTACAGAACTGTTACACTTTTTGCACACACTTGTCAGCACTTGGAGATCCTGTTCACCCTGCAGCATAACTGAGTTCCCTTCTGTTTCCCATGCAGCACAGCAGCCCAGTTCTGCAAATATCAAACCTTGATATTTTGCTCCGGCATAGGAGCTGTAAAGGGGTCAAATAGAGCTGGGACAGCACAAGGCTGGCATCTCTGACCGTGTTTTATCCTTCTTGCTGGGGCAGATCGGGTTGCACATCTCAGGAGAAAGAGCACTGTAGAGCTCAACCTACCTTAACACTTGACTGTCCTCATGGTGCAATGTGTTTTTTCCTTTATATCCAATCTGAACATTCAATAGCACCTTGGGGTAAGGACACAGGCAAAATAGATTTGTCTGCTCATATTGCAAATAAGCCTTGGTGAATGTCAAACTCACTATTTGCAGCAGGAGCGGAAGCCAAAGCAACTTCCAACTTTAACCAGAGGGATGGGACATCTTCCGAAGTGGCAGGACCCTTTTCTACAGAAAAACATGTCCCGCCGGGGTGAAGACAAACCTGTAACAATACCAAAAATTTCCTTCTCATTCTGCAGGGCATGACAATGCAGGGTTTCCCATTTGTTGAGCTGTTTTCAGCACCAACTTGCTTTAAGGACTGTTGCCCAGATTTGGCTGTGTTGAAAGACCATGGAAGAGGTGATGTTACAAAGCAGGTCTACACCTTGCAGAGGTGGGATCCTTAGCTCAGAGTGGATGGACAGCCTTAAAATCCAGCTGGAGAGTGATACAGACCTCCTGACTTGTTGTCCTTCACCTTATGGAGAAGGATCACGGGTCCAGAGGCTTTAATACTGGCTCCTATCTGAAAAGAGTTGACCAGGCTTCATTTTTACCGGCATATGCACTGCTGAGTGTACTGTTATCCAAAGATCATATCACCACAGGCACCATCTCAGGTGTCTAACACCAGAGTGTTCAGCATGATCTTTTTAGGAAGGCACCAGAAGTGAAAAATCACTCTTCTTCAGAAGTCATAATTTTTCCACCTTTGAAAGAGTTTTCATGGGTGAGCACAGGAGCTGAGCTATTTGAATAACTTCTGATCAATTTCTAGCAATTTTAACCAGTAGTGGTTAAAATGTGCTGGGAAGTTTATTTCAGGTGCACAAAAATACCCTTCTAGCATCTTTTTTTTTTTTTTTTTCCATCTTACCTGGTGAAACCTGGAGTGCCAAGAGGAGGAGAGAAAAGAGCAGGTGAAGGATCTTCATGACTGTGGATTTGCTGTATCACTGTAGGGAGAAGGACCGTGAAAGATGTATGACAGGCAGTCCCTGGGATCTACAGGCTTCTGAACTGTGCAAATAGAGTGTTAATCAAAATGGCATTTATATTGACTTTGTCTTCAAACTTTCAAAAATAATAAGTAAGACCCATATGATATCATGACTGTTGTGTGAGCATTTATGGAAAAGTAAACATATGAGGCAACAGGCTTTCAGGATATGTGATCATGAAGTTATTTTAATAGTTTGATTGCTTGGATTTCTTTTAGAATTTGCAAATAGTCCTTAACCATTATGCAATCCCGACTGTATTTTTAATTAAATGTTTTATCTAATAAACAAACACTACTAAGCAAAATTAGGTGATTATACAGTCAAACTTAGAAACTTCAGAAGAAAAATGTTCATATTGCAATGTTAAAATTTATCAAGAAGTAACAGCTCAAATCAACTTGCTCAAAATCTTCAGTCTTAGTCTACAGGCAGCAATTCTAGAATGAAAATGTACAACTAAATCAATTCCCATTTGAGAAATTAAATTTGAAAAGGAAACATGGAATTCCTTAATTAAAAGAGTTAATAACTGAACTAATATCAGCAAAACGGAATATAGATAGCCTACATAGATATAAAGATAGCCTAGAAGGGGGCTTACTGTTAAAGAGAAGTAGTTAATGACATTATTAATGTTATCTTGGCATTAAAGATTCTTCTGATCTGTCACAAATTATGTTCTCTGAAGTAAGGAAGGGGAATGAGGTTGTACCGAAATGTTATATTTCTGCAAATGAAATGGTAGAGGGTAGCCTAAAGCAGCTTCAAAGTGAATATTCGAAGTTTACACAGATTTCTATATATTTGAAAATATCAGGAGAAACTAGTAGTCAGAGTTAACAACTGTGAAAATGAAATAAAGTTCTTAACATAGAAACATAGATAAAAAAATATATACCAGTTTCCATTGAGGAGAACACCAATTTCTCTGAACCACAGACCTCTCTCAACTAACCTGACCCAGCCAGAATTTCTCCTAGGAATTAGTAGGCAGAGTATTTTTATCAAAGTATTCTAGGTATTAGCACATATTTGAACTATTTATTCAACCTGTGTAATTTATGGAAAACTTTGGTTAAACCTTCTTTAGTAGCCTACACATTTAGGTTAATAATGCAGAGGTTTGGGTTCCTGGTTTTGACTTTTTTTTTTTTTTTTGAGGAAAAGACAACAGTAGATATTGAAAGAAAGACAGAAAAGAAATGAGAAATTACCAGGTATCAGGTGAGCACAGAAGCCGAACAAGACCTGCTCTTGGCCCCTTCCCTCCAGAGGTCTTTAGCTGTGGGGCTGAGACCCTCTTTTATAACATGTTTCCTAAGGGGTGTGACAACTGCTTTCTCTTCCTAGCAAGCACACACTGAGCCAATTAAAACGTTACCCATTTTTTTAGTGACTTCTAATCCAACCAGAATCAAGTTGCTTTTGCATTTCCCAGTGCAAAAGCAGGGCTTCTCTCCGAACCTATTGGAGCTTTTCTTCTGGAAAATCCCAAGTTATTCTTGCAATACCTGTTGTGACACTCCAGTTTGTGTAAGATACGTTAAACCACCGTGGTATGTGTCAAACATCTTTGCACATACGTTGAACAGTTCCTGCTTAGGAGCAACATAATCCAATACAATAGAAAACATCTGCATGCCCCTCTGCACTCCCAGTTAGTTAAGTTTTTATTCCATAAATACAGAATATAAGAACACAGAATGGACATATGGAACTAAACCAAATGTCCATTGGCTTAGTGACCAGTTGTCACTATGGATGCCTGAGTAAAGAACATAAAATGTAGAGAAATGCGGTGAGTGCCTTGTGGTTATATCCCTGTACACCCTTCCAGATAATGGAAAATATATCAGTTTAGGGCAATCCAGTGCCAGAGGCTGTCTCTGGACACTCAGGCTGCAGAGCTCCCGATTGAGTATTTTTCCATGACTCCAGCTGATCTTCTGGTACTTCTGGCCTCCACAGGACTTTCACTTGATAGTTCCACAAACATACTCTGGCTTAGGTGAACATTCATTTTTTGTTTATCTGCTCTCAGTCTGCCAGCTGATCACCTCTGCTTTTTCTGTCATGGGAAGTAGCAAATATATATTCCACTTTTACCTCTCCGCATTACTACTGATGCTATGGTCTTTTCTTACACTTTCCCTTGGCTGTGTAATTTCCCTACAATGAAAAGGGGGATTTTGTCAACCTCATCTCTCAGAAAAGTCTTCAAATGGATCCAGTTATTTCAGTGGATTGTTCCTGTTGTACATTTATCTTAATATTTCAGTTCTCTTATGCCCTTTTGGGAATGGGCTGTGTAGAATTGCATGCAATGTCCAAAATACATCTTGGATTTGTATAGTGCCTAATCATATTTATTCTTTTGTTTTCAGCTCCTTTTCCCCCCCCTCAGTTCCAAGCATTTGCCTTGCCTTTCTGTCCACAGGCGAACACTGATATTTCTAGAGCCATATCCACAGTGAAGTCCACAATTGCATTAGTGCAGTTTTAAAATAACGCTCTGCTGGTCCCCTATGACTTCATGATCATTCAATTTGCAGAGGGGTTTTCATGTGTGCAAACTAGATTCCTTAGGAAGAAAGTGAACCAGAAGTTTTGCTTTGAAGAGACTCCAAAGGTACTCTGAAGGTACTCCAGTGCCTAGTGGGGCATGAACCAATGTGTGGGCTACAGCCCTCAAAGGCCCTGTAGAGTGTACATAATAACATTTCTATTTTTTTGGAAACCTGGAGAGTTTGGACTGGAAGATCAGCCATTTGAGGTCAAGCTGAAGGACCCATCTTTGTTCAGCTTGAAGAAAGAATGGCTAAGGGTCACCTAATTGCTGTTCACAAGTACCTAGTCATAGCTATAGTGAAGATAGAGCCACACTCCAGAAGTGCACAGTGGAAGGATGAGAGGTAACAGACATAAATTACAATGAGAGAAATTCCAACTAGGTATAAGGAAAAAAAAACCACTCACAATGAAGGTCATCAAACACTGGAATGGAGGCCCAGAGAATTTACAATATTCTGATCCCTATATGCATATTCAAGCTCAACTGGAAAAAGCTCTAAGCAACCTGATCCATCTTTGAAACTGGCTCTGTCTGGAGGGACAAATGGTCTGTAAGCATCCATTCTGACTTACATTGTTTTTTTGGTTTATTCAACAGCAAAATCCAGGCAAAACTGAATTCATAAATCAATATAATGAAAATTTGAGGAGCCTCAGCACAGTCTCTAAGGTCTAATGATCCTTTCTTATCTACTGATCTTACATTGCACCAAGTCACTTGCTGACAAACTATCCAAAGACACCAATATTAAATACTTTTTCAGATCATATCTCACTTTAATCCTCACTTCAGTCAAGAAACAAAAATTGTTCAAGCAATATTTTAATATGACACCTCAAGTACCTCACAATAGATTATGATATGTTTATCATTTTGAATGACTAGTGTTTCTAACTGAGCAAGATCGCTGCAAATAACACCATGTCTTACAGAGCATTTAGTACCAAAAGTAAACTGAAATCTTTCAATTACTTGTTGGTTCCTCATTTTAGTTACTAGTGATGTGATTTTTTCAATACTTTGATATTAATTACTTCTGTATACAGAAGTGTACAAATGTGCATACATGCACAAACACACATAGTTCTATATGCATGTGAAAACATGCCTAAAATTATTTCCTTTAAATGCATACATTGTTAATTAAGATAGCTTTTTATTTTCTACATAGTTTTATAAGTGAACTGTGTTTGCAGTAGGAGAAAATAATAATCTAATTTCTACTGTGTCTGTGAACTTCTGACCATAAAGCAGAATATGTAAGGAATAAAATTGCAAAGGTTGTAGTTGTTTCACAACTTGCCAAGAGATTGTGGTTAGCTTGCCTACCAACTGTTACTGTTACTCAACCTGATTCCTCAAGGAAACAAAGATGCATCGTTAATTTTTACTATGTCTAAGGTCCTGTGTGCAAGTAATGTCAATGACTTGGCTTTAACACTGAGCATTCTTGATGTTGTTAATTATAAATTCTACAGGGTTTCTCCCATTGTCATCATTAGAATCCTCTGCCTGGACATGGGAAAGGGAGAAATAGAGGAGGGATGGAGCACCTTTGGTTGTCCAAAGCTCGTAGTGGTGAGGCAGGCCTTATCAAGGTTTTGGATTGTGGCTCTTAGCATGGATAATGTTTCCATGCCCACCTGCAGCTCCTGTTCTTGTGACCAGGAGACATCCAGTTTCATACACCAGGAGGGACATATGATTGTTTTGCTCCTCAGGATATCACTTTTTTTTTTCCAGTGCCTTTTCCTGATAGACCTGACTTACACCAGGATCACAGTAGCACATGTTCCTTCACCCAGGGTATCTGGGTAGGCAAGTGCATGGGATCCATCCCAGCTAAGCTGGGCAGCACTTCACAATCATTTGGCTCTTGACATTAGGTAGCTAATCCTCTCTAACCAAAACATCATCTACTTTATCACTGTTTTCAGTGCAGAGGAAAAGGGAGTCTTCATGGAGAGTTTCCTTCTGCCTAAATAACATGTTTCTTTTGTTTCCTGGTTTCAGCAAAGTTTGGAAGTTGATCCAGTTATGTTTCTCTCTGTCTCCACAGCAAGTCTACACTCCAACTTCTTCAAGTTGGAGTTCACCAACGGTGCCACACTTCCCCACCTATTTCAGGTCCAGATCACCCAGTCCTCTTTTAAGCAGAAAAAATATTATGATGGGGTCATCATTTTAAATAATAATATAGTGCTTAGAGCCCTGGCAGAAGAACTGCTAGATGGAGCCTGAAGCACTGCTCTGTCTGATGCAGGTGGGATACAATACTAAGGGAAGTGTCTTCAAAACAAAGCTGCAGACTGTCATGAAGAGAAGTGGTTTTCACCCTTTGCAGATCAAGATGTTTGCATAATTGTGCAAAGATCACTTCCCAGAAAGGAAGGAGAATCTTACCTCCATCTTAGGAATCTGTATCTAGCACAGAAGATGAGGCAATTAGGAGCAAAAGGGAGAACCTCAAACTCTGCTCCTGACAGCTTTCTAGTGGAAAAAAAAGCAGCAAGTATTAGGGAGGTCTTTCAGTAGTGTCACCCCTATTTAAAATCCTGCTGTACAAAATACTGGTGTTCCATCCCTTGCCTCTGGAGGATGATTTGTTCATGTCAACGAAGGCTCCAGGCATCTGGAGTCTCTGTATGCTGGCATAGCTAGAACATCTGGCCAGCAAAAGGCTGAGCCCTATCAGCTTGCCAAAGAGTAGATGTTTAGCTCTAAAGAGGAGATAGGTTGAACAACAGTGTGGCTGGTGGCCTGCCTAAATACAGACTGCTACTGGGTTGTATGGCAACATCATCCCTTAGCCTTTTTCGTGTGCACTGAACCCAATTCAGAAGGCATAACCAACGCATATAAGATCAAGGTATTTTGATGCCACTGTGGACTGTATAATATAGAAATTCAGACTCCTCTAGATTAGCTGCAGAAGATGCTAGTAGCAGTTGTACTGGCAATGTAGATCCACCAGAAGGAGGATGAACAGTATTTAGATGTTGTTCTATAGTCATAAGTGAATTTGAAAGGCATGTACTGCATTGTAGCTATCAGATAAAGATTTGACGCAAGTATAGATCACCTGAATTGCTAACGACTGGGTACACAGTCATAAACTTTGAACAGTACACAAAAAACATTTAATCAGTCAAGCTCAAGACTTTAATGATTACATAGTTATCCTGAGTAACCAGGGAGCAATTATGAGATCAACATTTATGTGAACGAATCTTCCCTCCATCTTATTTTTTACTTTTGACAGCTAACTGAAGGTATCAAGGTAGCAGTGTGGGGTCCAGCCTCTTGGTTTAAGGGCTACACTGTGACAGGCAGGCATACAGTATGTGTCCAGAGCTCCTTGGCACAGGCCATGTAGCCTAAAATTTCTAAAAAACCCCAAATCTCTGAAAACTGAAATATATTAAAGACAAATGGCAAGAGTGACTTCACCAAACTTTAGATGTCCTGGAGGTAAAAATCAAAGTCCAAGATATTTTCACTGCTCTTCCTTTATAGTTAATGGAGAGAAATTCTTCTAAAGATTTTTAACTGAAGTACAAACATTTGCAATAAGACTGTTGGAATAAATGAAAAAGTAACAGTAAGGTTGCAAGAAACCCAGAAATGTTGCATTAGGAGATGTTGTGCTACAGCATCTCCTGCAAGCTGAAGAGCCATAAGCACTCATTCTGCA